CTACTAGTAAGGCCCTTGTTACTACAAGCGATGCACTTGTTACTAGTCATATTGTCCGGACAAGCATTTCGTCCAGGCCGCTTGGTAGCTGCGGCCTTGAGCCCTGCCACGGTGCTGCCGCAGGCGGATCTGTACGACGGATGTTTCTGTTCGCTATTGACATCGATGCGCAAGAGAGTATGAAGAGCTTAGGTGCTAGCATCAGAATTCAAAGGCGCATTGCTGCAATCGCACCAATTGCACAACAATTCGCATGTTTGCCACCTTCGTGGGACTTTTGCATATATTGTTCATCCAAGGTTTCAGTCAAAATCTTAGACCAAAGCCAAGAGTTTGGCTCCCAATCGCCTATTGTCCCAAAGAAACTGAAATGGTTTGGCTGACATCACAGACTGGAGCCCTGCAGCCGAAGATGATCTAAGTTCTTGAATAGTCCAGTCAAGTCCAGACACTTGTTTGCAACAGCTCAGATTTTAACGTGTTAGTCTGAGGATTGGAGTGCATAAAGTCAACACGAACCAAGTCCTTGAACTAGTAGTGGGTAAAGTATGATCGCTCTATTTGAGCAAGCCCTGTGCTCAGCATCATCATCCACCGTTACTTGTGGATATCCCTCAATTAGCGGTACTAATGAGTAGAATAAAACGTTGGTCAGGCCTTCCTTCCTTGTCCCAGGCACCAAGTGCAGGCCGGAACACGGCCCTCCCAGTGGACACAGGCGATTGGTTCGACGCATGGCGCACACATCTCAGATGAAAGACAGATCTGGAAGTAGAAGCGATGGCCTCCAACCTGCTTGCACTTTCACCACACAGAAATAGATCTGAGATTTGTGGATATGCCTCACCTGGGCCTCGGCTCAAGCGTGCCAGGAGATTTGAGGCCACGGGGGTTGCCGAGCGAGGCTTTGCAGGCGCGAATGACATGCTTTTGGGAACGTGACCTTTTCTATTGTTTGGAAAAATGAACCTACTAGTAGCCACGGCTACCAACCTATTAGCGATGACATTTGCATGTTTGTGTTTGTTTGGGAACCATCCCAAGTCTGGGATATTACGTTGTAAGTGCTTTTCTTGTGCATTTACCTCTCCCACGGAGCATAGATCACCTGCGTCGTTTCATGTCATGACCTTATTGCCAGAAGCCATTGGGACTGGACTAAAGGAAACGAATAAACGGGGCCAAGCGGAAGTTTGCTTTGAAGCAGGGATGTTCGCTAGTAGGAGGCCATCGCTATTAGGGTGGAGGCCATTGCTATTAGGTTCCTAAAATATCTTAAAGTATTTTTCTTCCAGTCTTCTTTATTGTTTTCGGTTGGAGGCCATCGCTAGTAGGGTTTAACCTGCCGGTGAGGAAAGTAGAAAAGTTCATAACACCATCCGAGTTGGGATGTCTATACTGGCCAGGTATGCATGAATCTTATGATGTCTGGGTACAATATTGTTGGTGAGCTGGTAGGTTGGAGGCCATCGCTCTTAGGTTTGTTTTTCACTTCGAGGCACAATATATTATTTATTTTGGACTTGTCGTCACACTGGCGACTGTGGCGACTACGCCTTTGCACCCCTGCCTTCAGGCTTTGCGCCGCCCGGACGCACCACCAGAAGGCTGGGTGTTCTCCGACCGCATCAACTGGCCGTTGATCAGTGAAACATGTCCAATCGCAACATTGTGAACATGAACTTAGCAGTCGGGTTTTGATCATTCCGGTGTAGGTGCCCTTGAGTTCAATTTCCACTTCTTTTTATCAACACTGGAATTGGATGGACTGTGGCTGTTCCTCAACCCGGCCCAAGGGAGTGAGAACTCTTCCTTTCACGAACCAGTTGGACAGATCTGACTTGTAGACTAGATGCCCCTTTGGACCTAAGCACAAACCAGGCACGGGCAAGAGCAAGACAAGCCCAGGCCAGAGAGTAGAGAAGTCCTGCTCAATCGAGAATTGAGAATTGAAGAAACGGAGACCAAGAGCTGGCTAGCAATGACATCTCCAAATGCATCAATCGCAAAAGATCAAAAGCTACAGATCAATTGTAACATTCGAGAGTAGCACAAAGCAGGTTGGTTCCTCCTTTCACCTTTGCAATCCTTTTCTACTAGTAACAAGAAGCTACTAGTAACAAAGCGCATCGCTGCTAGGAGCAAGGACGCTACTAGGGGCTCCTGGCCTTACTACTAGGAACAAGAAGCTACTAGGAACAAAGTTGGAAACACCAAAACGTAGGTTGGAGGCCATCGCTATTAGGTTGGTTTCTTGAAGAAAGCACCAAGAGTCAACCACTTCAGGAGCTTCGCGGCTTCGCATCCCGAACTTTCGGCTCTCAAGGCATGAAAGCCACCCTATGCATCATGCTCCGATTTGTGCCGTCATCCCTCATCGGCAAAACAGAGAACGGGGAACAAGAGAGGTCACAAAGAGGTGAATGAGCAATACTACAGTGAAGAGAAGGACACCGTGAAGAGGGCTCCACCTTCCCATCAAACAGACAGAGGTTGAATTCTTTTCAGCGGCCCTGCCATGGTGCTGCTACCCTGGGAGCCCTTTGAAGATCCTGCAATTTCTTGGGAAAAGATCCATGGACAAGCGTGCCTTGGCTTGGTTGATGCTGCTTACAACAAAGCCTTGGAAAACATGCGCACACACACACACACATTTGTCGCATGTGTTGCGTTGTTACATTTGTTTTTCTTCGGGTTCCGAGAAAACAAACCTAACAGTTTCAACACCTGTCACTTTCCAAGACTGCCAACGCCAGCGTTTTTCCAAACCGGCGCCACCTTAGACTTCACTACCTACCTTACTAACAAGGAAAAATAACTTGTGTTTCTTTAGGAGAAGAGTTTCTTCGGTTCATTGTGAAACGCCTACAGCAAGTGCCAAATACCCTTTCAGACGACAGTCACCTGAAACTCCGACCCTCACTGTTTATAAGATCCGGTAGACGCTTGATTGGCGCTCGAAAGACATGTACAGCTTCTGAATCGCAATAGATTTTCTGGTCTAATTGGTGCCTGACCCCTGACCTTGTCCCATTTATGTTCATGCTCCGTGTTGCGGGAGAGTGACTCACACTCGCAGCAAAGCACCTTTCTCATGCTCCGCCCCAGCGTTCTCAAAGCCCCAAGGTTGCCAGTGGTAGAGGTGCGCCCTGATGATGTGGGCGAAGCAGAGTGGCGCATCCAACAGAGGTGCAACTTGATCCGTTGAAACGTGTTCTTCGAAGGAGTGACAGGAGCGCTGACAGGAGCGCAGGAACACCCTTTTCTCCCTTTCTTTTCCACACCTTACTGCGAATTGAAGGAACAAGGTGTTCTTCAACTTGCTTCACTATTCTGTGTTTGTACAGAACGAACACTTGTGACTTGCTTGTGATTTCCAGGTGCAAGCGCGAACTCAAGCGCAAGGTGCGCATAGCTCGAGAGACGAATGACTTTGATATTCAAGCTTCAGTTAAACGTTGCCAAAGTTTCACCATGTAGGTATCGAAGACCATCTAATCTACATGTTAAGTGTGCCGTATATGTTGTCCTTTAATTTAGGGTTGTTAGTTACATATGGTGAGAGAGCTCACTCAACAATGGAGTTATTCTTTTGATGTTGACACTCGGACGTTGTTATGGATTGGTTTCAAGCAGAATCGATTCCAGTCAAACTGTGTGTTCTATGTTCTTTTTATTTTTAATTGCTGTGCTGAAGGTATCTGCATGGAAGACCATCACGAATGAGACTGTCACAGAGAACCACACCAAGGCCAAATCCAGAAGCAGCAGAGGAAGACACCATCTCTAATTAGTCCCTTTTGCAGAAAGAGCTTCTTGCTGTCCAAAATAGAAGAGAAGTTGTTTCCGGACTTTGCCTGAGCACCCTTAAGTGTATCTCTTGTCAATCGTCCTGTCTCACTCGGCATCTCCATTCCCGTGTCAGGTGAGGAAAGGTATGCTCTATGGCATCACTTTCCCCTGGACGGTGTCACAAAGCAGAGATGAACAAAATAAGTAGGTAGATGGAGAGGCGAAAAGAAAGAGAAAGCTTTTGCAACTGATATATGTCCTTTTGAAAGCTATCGAGCTGTGCACCAGAGCAGTTCTTTCTTCTTTCGTTTCAGAGGACTGAAGACATGCTTCACAGTGACGACTGGGGTGCTGAGTGGCTGACAAAGGCACAATCTGGGCTGAGGAATCAAGTAGCGTCCTTGCCCCGTTCGTAGCGATGCCAGGAGCTCCGTTCGTAGCTTCTTTGTTACTAATAGCAAACATTGTTACTACTAGTAAGGCCAGGAGCCCCTAGTAGCGTCCTTGCTCCTAGTAGCGATGCCAGGAGCCCCAGTAGCGAACATTGCTCCTAGGAACTTGACAAACACTTGCCTGTCTTCGGTCAAACTGTTCCTACGTATCATTACGAACAAGTATGCTCTTGCTTTCCAAGAAGTCCACCGCTGACAATTCTACGTCTTTCCTGCAATCTTTTCGATGAGTCAAACGAGGCAGATAAAAGGTCAAGCTGATGTGCAAATGTCCCTAGAACAAACAAATTTGCTACCAGTATTGGGTCAGACCAATCTCGGTTCGCCACATATTTGCTCAGATAAACAGGCTGTGTTGCGGACAAGACCGGATTCCATGTGTTTCCTGTGGACTTCTGGTTGCCTTGTCCACTGACTTTGAGAACCCGTAGTTGAGGAAGGCTTTGTATGAGGGAGAACCGCAAGGGTGAATGACAGGCTCATGGTTTGTGGTACCATGCTCGGTTGATCTTTTTGCTTGTTCTTGAGAAGCTCATGTGGCCAAACCAATTGAGGAGCAGCCTTTTGAGTGAACCACAAGGTGTCAGACTAAATGCAAAAAGTGTTTCTGCATGCTAAGTAGCAGAACTCAACACTCTTTCTCTCAGAGAGAGCTCTCTAGAGTCTCTTTCATCACAGTTTTGCATATGCTATGAAAAAAATGTGTTGCAGATTGATAGACATCTTGTGTCCAAAAACATCAGGATACATCGGATAAGACTGACAGAAATCTCTCACTTTAGATTTCCGCTGAAGCATGTAGAATGTTGCAGATGTCTCTTCACATAACCCAGCGCTTCTATGGATTAAACTGTCATAACGCGCGAAAAAGCTCCGTTCGTAGCGATGGCCAGCCCCGAACGTAGCGTCCGGTCCGTTGTTGTGAGGCGATGCATGCAGCGAACACCTTGCCGAAGGACAACCGCGTCACGAAGGCGTGGGTGACAACAAAGGAGAACCGAAGGAAAGGACGCTACGAACGAAGCAAAGGGCCTTAGGAACAAGAAGCGAACGTAGAAACAATAAGTATATAAATAGACTTTAATTAGAATTAAGTGTAAAAGCAAAGGAGGCTACTAAAGACTCCTAGTTGCGTCCGATCGCTCCTAGTAAGGGCCAGGAGCTAGTAGCGTCCGATCGCTCCTAATGGCAATGGCCTCCAACCTAGTGGCATTCTTGCTACTAGTAACGACTACAACTTCGCAGCACTCGGAGTTTTGTGTCGCTCCCCTTTTTGTGCTACCCGATTCCGAGCAACGGCGTTCCCAAAGGCTTTCAGAACGTCGAATTCAAACCACCCTCTGCCAGGTGATTCCAGACAAGAAGTATAGGAGCCAAGTGCGGAGCGAGAGCGGATTGAGAGAAAGGAAGAGAGAAGGAAAGAAGGAGAAAACAAAAAAAAGAAGGTCTCAGAAAACATCTCAAAAGAGATCGACCACTAACCAGAAAAGACGTGAGGGAAGCGGACGAGAGGCTGTCAGCATTTGCAGGATCACCACAGGCAACAACGGCGGCAAGTTCCTTTTCGAGGTCCGGACCCAGTGAACTGCTGCGGTAACGAGGACACTACTAGGGGCTCCTGGCCTCACTACTAGGAGCAAGTGCCTCGCTACTAGGAGCAAAGGGCATCACTGCTAGGAACAAGGACGCTACTAGGGGCTCCTGGCATTGCTACTGGGAGCAAGGACGCTATTAGGTGGAGGCCATCGCTACTAGGGACAAGAAACTACTAGATTTCCACCGCTAAATCATCAACACTTAAACCAGCACGTTTGTTGAACAGTATTCAACAGCATTTACACCAAGAGCTTGTGCAAGAAAAAACACACCAAATGTAGCGTTTGCAATGCTTCGTTCAACATCCAGACCCTTTTGGATGTCATGACATCCAAACACATGGTGTGCTTTTTGTCGAGCTCAATATCAAGGTGAAGGAATTGAATTTGTTGCAGCATAGCATGGTAGAGATAATCTTTGTATGACATTAGTCTTGTACCATCCACTTGTGAGGTGGAATATGCCACACCTGACGAGCATCTCCACACGAAGCTTTTCGCAAAGATTCCTCACGGCATGGAGAAGGACGGAGCGGCTTGTGTGTTCCATTTCTTAATGCACGTTGTGGTGTCGTTTTTGCACTAAAGCCCCTACTAGTGACAAGGGCATTACCACTAGTAGCTAGAAGCTACTAGTAGCAAGGTGCCTTTTACTAGTAGCTTGTTAGTAAGGCACCTTGCTACTAGTAGCCAGTATTTAGTAGCTTGCACAAAAGCCGTGAAGGAGACGATGTCCGATCGGCTGAGCTCTTCCGTGAACAAGCAGCCCATGGAGCTCTATGAGCTCAACACCTCCCGGCTCTTAGAGGCCGACACCACTCGACCTCTCGAGATCTGGAAGTGCAAAGAAAGGAGCCCCTAGTAGTATCCTTGCTCCTAGTAGCGTTCTTGTTCCTAGTAGCGATGCCCTTTGTTACTAGTAGCTTCTTGCTCCTAGTAGTAAGGCCAGGAGCCCCTAGTAGCGTCCAAAGCCCCAAATCATATTCAGATCCTTTTTGACAGGAATATGTTCTGCACAACTAAAGCTGTGAGTCCTTTCATGAGGAGTCTGCTTTAATCAGTGCCAAACGATGAAAGCATACCCCAGACAGAAAGTCACTGGCACGACCAAAGCAAGTTGTGTTCTTCCCTCAATTTGCCTCGTTTGTTTGACATTCATTGCATGGTTGCGGTGTTGCTTGGCTATATTTGCTGATCTCGATCTTGGCACATTGATTGAACTTTCTATCGGGTTGCTAAGAGGTCTTGCAACAGCTTCTTCAAGACCAAGATGACGAGAGTGTTCGTTTGGATTACTTGCTTCGTCCGAGCAACTCCGGGTCGGTACATGCCAGGCTACCCTGCCAGTGAGTATCCCCAGGCACTTTCTGCTCACGATTTCGATCAGATTTCACTGAGAAGCTAATTGGATGCAGGATGATATAGGTGTGTATTAAAATAGGGAGGCATCCCAAAGACCCCTGGAAGAAGGGAAATAGACCAGTCTACCTATTGGTTGGGTACATACGCATCAGTTCATTGCCGCGGTAGATCATGCTAATTTGATCGAAAGGCTGAGCATACTGAAAATGCTTGGATGAGATTCATAGCTACTAGGAACAAGAACGCTACTAGGAGCAAAGGGCATCGCTACTAGTAGCTGTGTGGACATTTTTCCACTCGTTCGCCCCTAGTGCATCTTTGGAGGGTTTGGATGATAACTATTCATCTATGGCTTTGGGTGCACGCTGCAGACCGGAGGTACTCAATATTGCCGGAAGTATCTCGCAAGTAATTAGTCGAGAGCAATAAGGAATTGTTCATCATACAGTTTCAAGCTTGGTCTTTGGGGCTTCTGGACCCGCCGTGCGCTAGTAGGTTGGAGGCCATCAATATTAGGTTGCAGATGGAGTGAAGACCTTCGATGAAAACATCGGCAGGTTCTACTTTGGCGATATCAGCAACGAAACCTCCAACTGGATCCTCATCACTGAGGCTGAAGTGATCATGATTTGAAGTCAGATATGCGTAGCAGCACGGCAGCAGCCTGGCAGCGTTCTTCGCTTGGCTCTTCTACTCCATGAGACATGCTGTTTGTCCATGCTTGACATTCCGAGACGTGTCAGTGTCACAGGCGGTCAACTTCCACGACCCCTCGTCGGGAAGCCTAGATCAAGAAATTCCTGAGCCTGACAAAGCCCCGCTCTTATAAGGGCATTACGTAGCGATGCCCTTGTTTGTCTAGATGTGCTTCTTCAATTGATCAATGTCGAGACCACGAACCTGTGCTTTTCAATGACACGGAAACACTCTAAAGAGCTCCACTTCAGTGACGTGTGAAATGCGCTGTTAGGTTGGAGGCCAGTGCTATTAGGTGATAGCGATGGCCTCCAACCTAATAGCTCAAAGAAAGCGTTTGAAGTGCTTTGTTCAAAGCCTTCCAGGCCTTTGGACTTCGCGGGGAAGACCGTGGGACAGAAGAAGGAGCAGTTCCTTGGGAGGAAGACTTCACGAGAACTCCCACGAAGGACACTTTTCTTGTAAGTACAAACTGGAGGTTGGAACCTGTTTGTGTATAATATATATATACACCTGAATTACAAAACTTCAACATCCAAATCAATGGACCGATGCTTCCAAGGCAACTTTTGGGGAATCCTATGCGGTATTTATCATGTTGCTTTTAGATCGACCTCAGGTTGAAAGCCTATGAGATCGAAGGGCCTTACGACAAATGCATGGACTGGTGCCTCCGTGGCGATCCCGCCGAGTATTATTTGGTGCTTTGGATTGAATGGCTCCGGAGGTCATTCTTCGGAGAGCACAACTCAGAAATTCTTGGCACCAGCTAAGGCTAGACTGACTCGCAAAAGAAGAACCAAACACTCAGTTTGACGACGATATAGCCTATCAGATTAGCAGCTGAATTTGCATTCACCCTGAATTGCATTCACCAACTAGCGCACGCTCTGAAGCCGCAAGAAGAACAGCACGCACAGACAGACAAGGGATGGAAGGGGGAATTCTTTGAAATTTGGTGGAATTGCTTTGAAATATGTTTTGGGAACAATCGACAAAAAGAAACAATAAAATCAAAGAATAAGATACAATATGTAAAAACTAGCAACCAAATAAGCTTCGTTGAAGAAGCCTGACACAGTTTTTCTTTTAGCTTAGTAGCTTGTTTTATCTACTTACTTACTGGTGGCTAATTGTTAGCCTACCACCTCTACTCGCAACCGAGCCGCCCCAAGAAAAGGCCGTGAAATCGAAGACCATGTTCTGCTTGGGTAAGTTTCACTAAACATCTAGGAACCAAATCATTAGTGCGAGCGCTGTCCTGCGTCCTGTCAGTAGTAGCTACTTAAGCTAGTAGCTACCTCTCTAGCTACTATCGCGGCCTACCCCCGAAAAAGAAGAAAATCGCTTTGTCTCATGTCTCGCTTCGAGGCACTGATCCGTACTGGTGCCCGCATGGCTGGGCTCTTCAAGAGTGGCGCCATGGGGGATCCTGATGTGGCGACTCGATTTCCGCGAAACAATGCGTGCAACGCGTGCAGCGACCTGATGAAATCAAAAACACAATGGTGGAACTTGTTGCGGTCAGTCTGTATGTCTCAGTGTGTTCATTTTTGTTTGCTTTTCGCCAAAGCTTCTTGTTTGTAGCATGAAGGACGTTAAGGAAGCCTTCACGGCTTCGTCGTGGTCTCCAGGTGGAGAGAGGGTTTTTCACCATGCCTCCTTGTTTCTAGTAGCGTCCTCTTGTTCCTAGTAGTAAGGCCAGGAACCCCTAGTAGGTGAGAAGGCCCCTAGTAAGGCCAGGAGCCCTCTTGTTTCTAGTAAGGCCTAGGAGAAATGGTTTTCACAAAGCACTCCGTGTTGCTGAGGTTGCCAAGCACTTTGAAAACATGCTTGGAGCGCCAAAGGAGGCGCTTTGAAGTAGATTTGGTTTGCAAGAAGTCCCAAACTGCTTTGTGCAAGAACTACTCTCCCTGGAATTGACATGGAAGTGGAAAACCACCTGTTTGTAGTGGAAAATAGTCTTCCAAGGGGCCATTCTCCACTTCCATTTTAGTTCCAGGGAGTGTATTCGTTTCTTTTTGCTTCTCGCTGTTTAATGGAGCTTAGTTTTGGCCCTAACTGCCCGTGCAAGAATACTTTTGAGAGGTCTTCCGTGAGGCGGGTGTTGTTTCCCTAAAATCTAGGAACCAACGTCCTAGGTAGGAGCGTTCAGTAAGCTGCTAGCTACCTCTGTCCTGGGCTAAGCATATATATATTTACAACTTACACTGTATAACAAATCGTCTCAAAACTAAAATATATCAAAGTTAAACTATATTCAAAAAAAACACGTCTCACTCGCTTCCGTCAGGCCTTTGGAGTTCAACCGGGCTGTTCGGGTCAGCCGCCGAAGATGCTCAAGACCGGGCGACGTGTTTCGCTTTTGTTCTGTTTTGGTCAGAGAATGATCAACGGAGAGGTCCCGGTTGTTCGTGAAAAATACCAAAGGTGTCTCTTGGTTCGTCGACTCAAGACGGAAGAACTGAAGCAACTGAAGCCCGAGTGGAATAGATTTAACTAAGAAGCTAACTAGGGGCTCCTGGCATCGCTACTAGGAGCAAAGGGCGCTACTAGGAGCAACGACACTGGGCATTCGATTTCTGTGGAGGACGAAGGTGGACATGGGCATCGAGCTGTGGAGCTCCGTGGGTGCCGTGCTCTTCCCCAGCTTCACTAAGGACACCGCCTGGCAGGCGCGGAGTGCGCGGACGGAGTGGAATCTGTTTTGAGTGTTCCACAAGCGGTTCTTGTAGCGTCCTTGCTCCTAGTAGTACTTAGTACTGCTTTTTGGGAATAATCGGAGAATAAACAAGAGAGATGCTTCATGATGTTTCCTGCCACAACTCTAAATGGTTGACCAATGAAAAGGCATGTCCTTTGTTTGTCGGCATGTGGGTGAACAAGAATCCAAACATGACTCGTTCAAAGACGGGACTCCGACAAGATGATGAAACTAGTGCCGGGGTGATGATTGTGTTGCGCCTCCGAGACAAAATTCACAGCCACGATGATGAAGCTCAACGCATATGCAGGCGAGAGTCAGTGTCCAGGCAGATTTACTCCCTGACCCAATGTACACTCTCATGAATACCTCGGAGGACGGCTTTGCAGAAAGAATATAGGAACCTTTGAAAGTGTCTGTTGAGAAAGCAACCTGCAGTCATGATGTTTCATCAAATTGAGCCTGGAAATTGCGCAAGTTACACAAGAGAATGGACAAGTACCACCAAGAGTGTTCTTGAGTCTTTACTGCAAGGGGTGTACTTTAGTGATGTCAAAGACTTGAGCAACTTCGAGAATTGTGGTTCTCAGGTATTTCATGCACCACAATGACGATTATGTGTCTTTGGCGCATGGCAACATGAACGTCGACAATGTGCCTTGCCAGACGTCCAGTGGACCGGGACAAGGTCGGTGATTAAGTCCACTTCAGGTCTTCACGAACGGCGTCCCGCTGGGTTTTGTTGGCACTTGTTTCTAATAGCTTTTTGTTACTACTAGTAAGGCACCTGCTACTACTAGTAAGGCACTTGTTACTACTAGCGTGGCCAGGAACCCATAGGACCCCCCACTTTTGGCAAAGCAGGTTGGGTTTCACTCCACGAAAGTCCTTTTGTCGAACGAATTGGTCGAACGAAGTCTTTCCGAGGCCTACTTTTGGCGTAACGACTCGGGTGCCTTGGAGCTCGGCGTCTTCGACTGGGGTGGCATGGGCTGCCGCTGCCTGGGAAACTCGGTCGAAATGAACGGATTTGGCCTCCAACCTCATTGCAAACGAAGCTACTAGGAACAAGTGCATCGCTACTAGTAACAGGTGCCTTACTAGTAGTAACAAGAAGCTACTAGTTATTCTTTTTGTTTCTATTGGCGATGGCCTCCAACCTAGAAGCAATGGTTCTTGATTTCTTGACAAATCAAGGGTCCTTTAAATTTCTAAACGGGAGCTGGCACTAGCAAAGCTTCTCGCTGTAAAGTAAAGGCCCTTGTCAAGTTGCAATTTCTGCAAAACCATTTCGCTGCTTCTTCCCCGCCCCCCGCTCTCTCTCTCTCTCTCTCTCCGTCCCCCTCTCTCCCCGTCTGTCCGTTCATTCCTCCTCGCGTGCATCCCTGGATGCTTGGGTCATAGCTAGGCACATCCTTAATTGTCTTCCTTATTCTTGTGGTTCCTTCTGCCTTTTTTCCTGTTTTTCCTTCGCTATTCTGCCAACTCTGTGTGTGAGCGTGTTTAAACTGCCACATCATGCAGTGTTGAACATGCTTCGACCACTGGCAACTTGCGGGATCTCTTCCAGAGGAGCTCTCCTTAGCAAAGTTGCTTTCTTCATTAACTTGTAAGTACATTGCGTGCGCAGTCTCTCCCTTCAAAAAGATTACCCCAAACGTGGCGATTTGGTTCTGTGCATCGCAGGAGCGCAAGAACCATAGTTAGTGACTTTGATGTTTAAGATAAAGAGCATCCAATCGGAGCAAGACTCATGCACTGCCGCGTTACGCAGTTGGCTTTTAAACGGGATAGCCAAGACCTAGAGATTTTGAGCAACTGATGGCAGCTGGTAGAACTCGTGGTTGGAATAAATGGGAGAAATCACGTTGTGCTTTCTGGTACAGAGAGCACTATGAACAAGGTGAGCCCGCGGACCCAAAAGCAAAAAGAAGCATGCAGCCCAGGAAAAATAAACAAACACACATTAGCAGGCCAAAACGAAGCATCAGCCCCCTCCAGGCTTCGTGGCAACCATGATATTTCAAGCATCGCGGCTCTGGTGCGCATCCGTCCACCCCCGTTTGCCATATACACCCCCGTCCACCCCTTGGTCAGTTTTGAAAGCCCTCCAAAACGGTCATGAAACGATTGCAACATGGCTTCTAACAACCCTTCCACGCTTCCCGTGGAGCAGCATCACCTCCCTCCATGCTTCGTTCCAACCATGAAATTTGAAGCATTGCTGTTCTGGCATGCAACCATCCTGCCGTTTCTGCAATGACTTGGGCTGTATTCGGCATAGATTGCATACATTCTGGACACCCAAGACCGTTCTGCCGCGAGGCATGGAGTAGCATCAGCCCCCCATGCTTCGTTCTACTTAGCATGCATCTCCTTCCACAGCCCCGTCCCCGCCCGTCTCCCCACCCATGCGCCTCCCGTCTCGCTCCCCTCCATCTTCCCTCCCCAGCCCCGTCCCATGCGCCTCCCGTCTCGCTCCCCTCCATCTTCCCTCCCCAGCCCCGTCCCCCACCGCTCCCCTCCCCTCCTTCCCCTGCCTCTTCTCTTCCCAACCCCGTCCACCTCCACATCCATCTTCCATCCCCGACAACGCACGCTTTGTCTCGCTCTTCCGCGGCACTAGCAACTAAACGAGAACCCAAGCATCGGAGATGCTTTTGGGAAAAAGCTCGGTCTTTGCCCTACAGCAAAGCTTGGGGGTCGTAAGCAATAGTAAAGACCTCGGAGCAGGCCCCAGAGCAGGTTGCGGGAGCAGGTTGCATGCACCAGAGCCAGTCCCGGAGCAGGTTCCGGATGCAGGTTCCAGAGCAAGTTTCGGGGCACTGTGCAGCTGTGATTCAGATGCCGCTTTTGTAATGTGGTCACGGCCTTGCGCTGACACGTCGTAATGCTGGCCTGTTGTCACGCTGACATGTTGACACACCATAGGGCTACATGTTATACTTCCAACTTGCAACACGCAAGGTGTTGCCACGCTGATACGCTGACATGGTGACATGTTGGTGGGCCCGTAAACAGAATGCTGTGACGCAGACGTGTAGTCACGCTGACATGATTCATGTTGTGACTGTGACGCCGATATGCCGGCATGGTGTCATGCTGACAGGTTGTCAGGCTGTCGTGCTGACATATTGTCATGCTGGCACGGGTGAGTGTTGCCATGTTAGTGTGCTCACGTGGCCGCGTTGTCATATTTTTTTTAAACGGCAGTGCCTTAGAGGGACGGGTATGTTCCAACTGACCGCGGAGTGGCGAACACATACGCAACATACCCTATGTACAAAGGGCGCGCGTCTACCTTCTCAGCAGGATTTTGTGTTTTGGTTCATGATTCATGATTAGCCACCAATATTGCAAAAATGTTTTCCATGTCTGGCAAAGGACCACGAAGACAACCACACCCACAACTCCAAACAAAAATACAGTTTTATACTATCCAACATAGGATGTACTGATTACTCCAGGGATGCAAAAAGTAGTCACCAGAACGAAACCCAATTCCAAATAATGCTAGGTGTTCAGCTACTTGTCCTTATTCAGAGTTTTCGTTTTGAAACTATTGCTGAAAATCTACGGAGAGGATCCCAGAGGTTTTGCTTTCCAACATATTTGATTCCTTGCAGAGTCAAACTGCAAATTACACAAAATTTGAGAGAGTTTGTTTTTGCAGGTGACCCATCCAAATGCATAGGGTTTACAAAGCACTTGATTTGTTTGTGCATGTGGACCTCTTCTGGTTCAGTTGAGTTCAAAGGTGGTTTGATATGTTTGATATATGTTGATCACATCCTCTCATTTTGTGAGCCAGGCAGCCCATGTTGGGACACGCCAAGGACTCATAGAGTTTCAAGGCTCTTCTGTAGTTCCAACTGTTTGTTGATTTGGAATAGGTTTCCCATGATTTCTGAGTTCACTGAAAATCTCGGGGTCGGGCGTGGCCCAAGCGGTCTTGAATCACAGAGCAAACTGCAGCGGGTTTGCAGAGATCCGTTGAAGCTGGTGGTGCGAATGTTTTAGCACAACAGTGGAATTGTGTTGATTTATTTGGTTGTGTCATGCTTTCTGATCCCTGCGCTCATTTTGAGGATTCAAGCTTTGGTGGTGGCTCTACTGTGCTGATTTTGAAGTACTTGCCGCTGAGAATGCAAAAGTTCACTTTTGAACACGCAGATAGATATTGAGGACCCTCAAAAGTTTGTTCAGGAAAGAGTTCAACTCAAGAATCATGTTTGAGCAAGAGGATGATGTTTGCTTTTCCTCTTTTAACATGATAGAAAGATCATCAATAGAGTTGCTTTCCTTGCCTGTGGGAGTGCCGTTTAACAAGTGAAACATGGTCGTTGCAAACTCGAGGCATTCGCAGGGTGAAAGTTTGAATTCACCTCCAAATGCTGTGATTAGGAGCAAAGACGCTACTACGGGTTCCTGGCCGTGCTACTAGTAACAAGAACGCTAAGAACGGAACTAAGGGCATCGCTACTAGTAGGGGCTCCTAGATGAATCTTGTTTGCCGTGGATCAGCAGCGGTGCTCAGCATGGGGTAAAATTATGAATCTTCGCCAACAGGTTCGGCGGAGTTTCATGACTAAGGATGGACACTTCGACCAGTTTTTAGATTGCCATGTGGAAAGCTACCAAAGCGCTGGCGGGCCCAAGATAGACAAGGAGGTGCATCATGGTTTTCCCTGTCGCAAGTGCCGTAAGTCACTCTGCAAGGTTTTGTTGCTGTCAAATCGCAGAAATCATAAATGCACAAAGGTCAAATGATATTTATCAGAACACAACACAACGATCAAAACATATTCACTCAATAGAGTTACTCTTGGCACCGGACGTCTTCGGACTCTCTTGGACGAACGTCGCCGCACCAAACGATCGAAACCCTCACTTTTCTCAGGTACTCCGAATGCAATTCATTTTGGCCTCGATGACCCAGATGTTTCTTTGCAGCAAGTGGAGGAGTACAGATGATTAGAGGTATGTGACATAGTAGCAAACATTGTTCCTAGTAGCGATGCACTTTTACTAGTAGCAATTATGTGACTCACCGGAAGTTTCAGTGTGGAGTTGTGTGAGCACATTGAACTTGTGCGAACTGATCAGCTTCACACGAAGAACAACCGACTATACTATAGCAGAGGTTGCATGTTTGGACCACTTTGGCATTTGGTTGAACATCGGGTTCTGAAAGTGAACATAGTCGATGGGATTCCAAGACACTCAGACTTTGTGTAGTCCCGCCCAGCAAGTCGAAGTTGCGACAGTTTGTACTGCTTAAGCATGCTAATGCTTTTGTACCTGCAAGGGCATGCAACCTAGTAGCGTCCTTGTTCCTAGTAGAAATGCCAGGAGCTACTAATAGCTTCTTGCTCCTAGTAGCGATGCCCTTTGTTACTAGTAGTTAAGTTTCACTAAAAATCTAGGAACCAAATCATTAGTGCAAGCACTTCTTCAAGGAAGCTTCCCCCGCCGCCCTGTCGGGGGAGTTTCCGCGAGCTCTCCTGCGTCCTCTCGGTAGTAGCTATTTAAACTACTAGCTACCTCTAGCTACCTCCTACCTCTACACGGCCTACCCTCCCTAAAAAAGAGGTGCTTGTGCTCCTAGTAGCGTCCTCTTGTTCATGCTTTTTGTAAGTCGGCGATGAGGTTTGGATTGGTCGCCGCAGTGAGTCAGATCTACAGGTGCACCGTGTCACGAGCGCAAGTAGTTAAACGTGGACGACGGTATTAAACATGCCACGAATTCGAACATGTCAGAAGTCAGATATTTGGATGCTTATCAGAGGCTTCATGACTTACTAAATTCGTTAATCCTTCAAGGTACAAGATGTGCGCATCTGGTCTCGAGATGCATCGCCAGGATGTGCCCGAAGAAAGACTTTGGAAGCATCAAGGATCGTTGCTGGTCCGAAATGGAGCTGTAGATGTTGCATCCAGACAAGTGAGAAGGAGAATGTCGAAGTCTTGAAAAGATGTCAAAGACGATTTTTTGAGACTGCAGATAGTAGCTGATGTGTATATATGTCTATGTACATAGAAAAGAAGAATGAAGGGTCTAAAGATAAAACTACTTGAGATTTCAGATAAGCATAACAGAAAACGTGATTTGAATTCGCTTGATTCTTGTGTTCGTTATTGGCCACAAGAGTCCCAGATGTAAAAGCCGGAGCTGAGGTTATGACTCCCGCGTGGGAGAGAACATCAACGGCAAGAGCACCTTACGTTTGTATCTTCAGGCACAAAGAACAAAGAAGACCATGCACCGTTTGGTCAACATGGAATAAAAAGATTGGAATTAAGCAGAAGCTCAATTCCAACTACGTTAAGATGATTAAAGATGTGGGTGGATGGTGAATTGGCTCATCTTTGGGTAGAAGTGCTGTAGAAGAAACACGCAAGCTCGCTATGCCAATGCTGTGAACGGATACTGACCTCAAAGCTTCCCGACCCACCCCGACTTGCTGGACATGGTGGGGGTGGCCGTGCAACGTTCTTGTTACTAAGAGCGTCTTGCTCCTAGTAGCGATGCCAGGAGCCCCTAGTAGCTTCTTGTTGTCCCTCAGCGAACGTGAAAGGCAAACCAGAGGTCCCGATGTTCGCAATTCGGTTGGTCACGTCGGAAGTTTCGAGACGCTTCGAGACGAAGGTGATGAGGACCATTTTGCTGATCATGGAGAACTGGAAGGAGCGCCCTTTGGGACAACTGGTGCTTTAAACAATCGCAGTATAAGCTGCTGACACGGACCGCAGAAGAGATTGTCTATTCAAATTCAAGACGAACTGAGTTCCGTCAAATGAAACTCCAGGGCTTGGTTGGGCTTGAAGGGTATGGTTTGCATGGTATGTTTGGGTTGACAAGTTGAAAAGTACTTGGAAGCAGATGTTGGGCTGCAAAAGCTTCCACATGCACAACACAAAGCAAGAAAACAGCCAACATGAGGATATTGCAAAGGAAGCTATTGAACACATCTCAATTTTCGGCGCTTCAGGCAGACAAGGTGCTCGATGATTTCGAGGAGAAGATTTGTGGCCTTCTCTCCATGAGTTGCGCGGCTGCAGCGCACGACCACAGGGTTAGCATGTTCGTGTCGAGGTCTCTTTCCTAGATGGATTGGACCCTTTCACACAATATGTAAGTCCGGTCAATGTGCTTTCAGGATTCCAAAGCCTCGTTTTGATGAAGCTGGGTTACCATAGGCCCTCCGAGAAGCACCAGGGACGGATGAGAAAGGCGAACAGCTGAGGCAAGAAAGATGCGTCCACCATGGAAGCCGCCTAAGCCGCTTGACACCACAATCGACCAGGCCTGAAAGCTGAACCTCAAAGCATCCAGGGCCGGCCACATATGACTCGTTTGTGACTCGTTGTGACTGAGCATCGCTACTAGTAGCATTTGCTACCCTTCCACACTTGTTGGTGAGCTTGGCGTCACTTTGGACTTTGAGAGAAAAGGTGTGGAGAGGACAAAAGCTCCAGCTTGTGCAAGACCAGACGAACACATGGTTTGCCTGCACTCTGGCGGCAACAGCTTGTGAAACCATCCGGAATGGTCAGCCTTTTCAGGGCCTCAGGGCACCATCAAAATATGGTGGCTTCTTGTTCCTAGTACCGATGCCAGGAGCCCCTAGTAGCGTCATTGCTCCTAGTAGTAAGGCCAGCCCCTAGTAGCGCCCTTGTTACTAGCATTGAGACGTTGCACATTGGACCTTGAAGGTCTCTTGACTGCAGTTTGCCAGGTCACATCGATGGTTCAGCCGCTCCTGAGGTTTCACCTGTGTGAGGATTGAGGAAGTTCAACGCATGGCTTCCAATAGGACAGCTTGAAAAGTGGGACATTGCGATCAGAAAAGTGGAAAATTGTGACCTGGAAGAGTTGAGAAGCCTTGAGAATCCTTGCTGATTGCTTTCAGTAGCCAGATCTTTCAAAGGCCCTTGCAACGGCCAATTGAAAAGTGGCACTATCAAGCCTAGAGTCACAGGATGACTTGGATCTTCCAAAGTGAGGCTGAGAAAAATGCGCGTTCGACTCACATGTATATTTTGATATGCAGTCGATTGTCAGCTATGAGCAGCAAAACTCCAAATCTTCTACTCGCCACATGTATTATCTACCAAGCGGGAATCCTCCCTCCCTCAATTTGGTGAACTTTGACCAGTGTACCCACCAGATTCGCGTGAGGGAGCTCAAAGGTCATCTAGATCTGTTTGACCGTTTTAAACGTGAACATGTTGCTTTTTGCGCAGGCGCAGCGCCGCAACGACGGGTGCGCCCGGGGTGAGGAGTATGTGGAGGGGGCTGGAAGAAGTTCATCAGTCTTTGTGGAAGGTATTTGTTGGTTTATACTATTTCTTTTCAAGGGTGGTAGGCCGCCGCTATTTGGTTCCTAGTAGCGAACATTGCTCCTAGTAGTAAGGCCAGGAGCCCCTAGTAGCGTCCTTGCTCCTAGTAGCGATGCCAGGAGCCCCTGGTAGCTTCTAGCCCCTAGAGATTTTTAGTGAAACTTAGGGTTGGAGGCCATCGCTATTAGGTAAAAGGACATTGTTGCTAATTGGTAGCAAGGAGGGTGTACTCCAGACTTAAGCCCTTACGAGTAGCGCTCGGGGTAGAGTCAGAGCGGCGGTCGTTGCACTGTGGTCACTGCGGTCACTGCGCCAGGGCAACAAGCCCCTGAAGCCGGTGGCGATACCGGCGAAGATGCAGCGCATCATTTGCAGTGTCCTTTACGCGGACTTTGTGGCGCCTCAGAGAAAAGACCAGTGCCCCTTTGCTCCTAGTGGCTTCTTGTTTCTAGTAGTAAGGCCAGGAGGCCCTAGTAGCGATGCCCTTGCTCCTAGAAGAAAGGATTCACACGCCGACCAGGCTGTGATTCTTCATAAAGCTGCCGACGCTCAAATAGAGCGCATCAGATCTATAGGAAGATTCAGATTGCCATTCGGCAGGAACTAGACGCCCATTATTGATTAGTGGCTGGACATACGGTCAACAATACGTTTTGCGTTTGAAGTGGTTCGCGAAGAAGATGTTTTGGTAACAAGAAGCTACTAGTAACAAAGGACATCGTTACTACTAGCAAGAACGCTACTAGTAGCTCCTGGCCTTACTACTAGGAGCAATGTTCGCTACTAGGGGCTCCTGGCATCGCTACTAGGAGCAATGTTCGCTACTAGGGGCTCCTGGCATCGCTACTAGGAGCAATCTTCACTATTAGCTTATTGTTTCTACTAGCTTCCTACCCCCCCCGCGCGCGAACAGGTCCTAGTAGATTCCTTTGCTAGTAATTAGAATTCTACTAGGAACAAGTGCCTCGCTAGTAGTAACAAGTGCCTTACTAGTAGTAACAAGAAGCTATTACTTTAATTTTTTTTTTTTGCTTTTTTGTTACTACTAGTAAGGCACTTGTTACTACTAGCGAGGCACTTGTTACTATTTAGCAAGAATGCTACTAGAGTGAGACCGAGGCAGTCACCCCGCTGGACGAGAAGCGGGGTCAAGCCATCCAGCTTTGCCGCGGCGGAGAGGTGCCGTGGTCGACGTAGCCGCTGCGTCATGCAGAATGGCTGCCGTCAGTCAAACTCTGTCCGTCGGTCAAAGATGATTTAGCACATCACGTGAGCTGGCTCGCTTGGAGCTTCTTAAATAGACCTTTTCAAACATATTGTGGAAGACCGGATTGAATTCAACACCAAGCAGATGCGGTCTCAAGCGAATATCAAGCTGGATAAGTGTTGCTTTTATTGCCAGAGGGAATTGCCGACCATCCCCCAAGCAGAGGTAATTAATAAGTGAACAAACTACCACTTGGACCTCACAAGTAATTGCTTGTTTGTTTGGAAGGGCAAGTGAAGTAATACTTTAGGGATAAGGGAAGCGAGGGAAGGTAGTTCTTTGACCTCGCCTAATCATCTCAAGTGTGTAAGCAAGCTCTTTCGATTGAAATATCAATCCATGATGAATCTCAAGGGTGAACCTTCTTGCCCTGTGAAGAAGCAGTCCCTTTTGTTGTTTCACAAAAGCTCGAACTTCGAAGACTTCGAAGTCGAAAACTGCACAGATCGTCCCTTTGCTTCGCTTGCTCCGATCTGTCGAGCTCGAAGTGCGGAGCTTAGAGGCGACAGAGACCCTCAACCCGTAGGTTGAGCATGTCTCTCCTGTCTAGTCGTCTATTCTGTTCCTCTTCTGTGGTCCAAAGTCCCGCGGCTTTGACCCATAGCCCTTTGATTTGCAGCCGTCCCCCACTTTGCATGGGTACACGAACCATAGCATGAGGTGCTCTGACTGGCAAGAATAGCAGCAAGTTGGAAATGGAGTCTGAAGTTCTCCTTTCTGGAGCTTTTTCTCCCAACAAAGTACACGTTACACGACCATGATTTTCCAGCACATTTCAGTGTAGACCATGAATGACCTCATTCTACTGGTTGAGTGGTGGATGTGATAGCAGTAGTGGTAGTGGCAGTGAGTGGTAGTAGAAATGGCAGTCGTCGTAGCAGCAGGAGTAGTACTAGTAATCTAGTGCCAACAGTAGGAACAGTGGTGGATGTGGAATCCGTTTTGCCTGCAAAATGCGCCCAGAACTGACTCAGGCGCAGGAGGGTCGGGGGCTCAGAAACATGGTGCTGAAATGGTGGTAAGGGCGGTGCAAGAAAGACAACGAAGCGTTTGGAAAGTTGCAAGGTGGTTTGCAAGTCTTGATGTATCGCGTTGCTTTGTTGTAGCGTGATTTTCGGGTGACTGTTCCCAAAGCGTTTTCAGCAGCGTTTGGCACATGCAAATTGCAGGTGGATCAAAGCCGGGGAACCCGATGTGAAGAGACTCGAAGTACCCAGCGACGGCTCTGTGGAACGATATAGTCACAAGGAAGCTACTAGGGGCTCCTGGCCGTACTACTAGGAGCAAGAAGCTACTAGGAACAAGAAGCTACTAAAGAATCATCTCGTGACATCCGAGTGGCTGTTTCCATATTGTAGCGCACCATGGCGCACCCTGGGATGTGCATGATTCATGTTCATGTGCTGATATGAGGATGTTTAACGGACTTCGACAGTCTTCAACCGGACGAAATCACATTGAAGGGAGATCCTGCAGATGAACTTTCCGTTGTTCGTTCAGGTTCCGCATTGTGCTCGGTGCAGGAGGAGTGCAGGCCATCTCACTCTTAAAACAAAAGCATGAGTTGGGTTTCCCGCAACTTGGAAATTTGATTGTCCTGTCTTTGCCAAGAAGGAGTTGTCCGAAACTTTGGAAGTGTCTAGCCTGCGTACCATGTGAGCGTTGCTTTCAGCATCAATAAGACAGCATAATGCTTAGAACCCCCGAAGCAATCTCAAGACATTATATATGCATAGCTCTGACATGCTTTGGCACAACCTCGAAGATGAACAGTTTGGAGTCTGGAGTGTTGCACGAGCAAATGCATACCATATTCCTGAATACCAGATGAACATATATTCAGTACAGTTCAATACCTTCTGTAGTTCTATTTGTTGTCCTTTAAAGAAAGTCAAGCGTTTCTTTCAAGAACATATGCGTGCTTTCCTGGTTAGTGGTTGCTAGAGAATGATACCGTCCATCTTTTTGAGAGGAGCCTAATATAATTTGAAAGCGAAATTCGGAGACACCGAAGAGCCGAAGATCTTAGAAAGTGCAAGAATGCTAATTATTTACCTGTCTTTCGTTTGGGAAAGCCTAGACCATGAAGCTAAGTTAAGTAGTGAGTAGTAATAGCGATGGCCTCCAACCTAAGAGGCTCAGAGGTAGAAGCTCCTTTTCCTTTCAACCTGAATGGAAGGCGATTGTTGGACTCTTCCTCGATGGCGAGCTCTCGTGGGAGAGGACCGCTTGCATTCCCATGAGAATGTGAGAAACTTCAAGTGGAGAAATGCTTTTCTGCAGTTTCTCCATCACCTCCTTTTCCTTTCCTTGTCCTTTTCTTTGTCCTCGTTCATTTCCTTTTCCGAATTTACTCTTCCAACTCGCCAAGTTTCGAGTCACAAAGTGTTTGCTGATTGTTCCGGACGTCGGTTGTGCGAGTTCTTCAGTCGCATCCCGACTGGCATGCTGTCCTTTTGTGTCCAGCAAATGGTGGCACTAGCCAGGGCTCGCGAGCACTTGCAGCACGAGGCAGATTCTGAATCATCGAAAAAGGATTCGGTTTCTGTCAAATTGTACTGACCCAACGGCACAACTTTCAAAGTCGGCATTCTTCTTTTCCAGTTGTGTCTTGTCCATGTTTGCGCCGTTGTTTCGTTCGACTGCGGCATAGGCCATGGACACTCAAAGTGACTGAGCTCTTGGGTTCGGCGCCCAAGGCCACGCCGAAGTAACGCAAGACTTAGTTCTTTGAATCATGAAAATAGGTGTTCCAAAAAATGTTGTTCTTTATTCCATATTTAACAGATTGTTTTTCTTGTTTTCCTTCTGACCTGTCCGAATGCTTTATGTCCTTTCTTTTAGCCACAGGAACTTCCCACCAGATCTTTGTCACTCTTTCGAGTCGTGAAACATCTCTGAGCTACTAGGAACAAGTGCCTTACTAGTAGTAACAATTGCCTTACTACTAGTAACAATAAAAATTTTATTAAAATTGTAATTAGTAGCTTCTTGTTACTACCAGTAAGGCACTTGTTACTACTAGCGAGGCACTTGTAATTACTAGCATCTCTGAGCGGAATTAAGAGCAAATGTCCAGGTGAGGCCTCAAGTGTTTTCTACTAGGGGCTCCTGGCCTCGCTACTAGGAACAAGGGCCTTACTACTAGTAGAAACAATATATAAATAGAATTCAATTAGTATAATTAGAATCTAACTAAAATTAGTAGCAAAGAAGGCTACTAGGACCTTTTCGCGCGGGGGGGCA